CATGTGCTGGTGAGCGGGCTGCCGGCCGGGCTGGCGCTGCCCGAGGAGGTACTGCTGGACAAACTCGAGCTCTTCTTCAGCAAGGCCCGGCACGGTGGCGGTGACGTGGACACCCGCGAGCTGCTGCAGGGCAGCGCTGTGCTGGGCTTCGCTGACGAGGGAGGTAAGGCCCCGCTTGGGGGGCTTGGGGTGCCCGAGGTGGGAGGAGTAGGCTCTGTGCCCCAAGGCCTCGCTGTCCCTGCAGTGGCCCGGCACCTGTGTCAGATTGGTCAGTTCCAAGTGCCACTGGGTGGCCAGCCGGTGCCACTGAGAGTCACCCCCTACATGAGCGGGGACATCCAGAAGGCCGAGGTGAGCGCCCTACCCTGCCAGCTGCCCCACCCCCTGTAGTTCTCCCGGGCACCGTCCTGCCTCAGCCTCCCCCTGAGGCTCCAATCCCTCCACAGATCCAATGGCAGCCGGTGCCCCACTGTGTGCTGGTGCTGGGCATCCCCGATGTCCTGGATGGCCCAGAACTGCGAGACGTCCTGGAGGTCCACTTCCAGAAGCCCACTTGTGGTGGTGGAGAGGTGGTGGCAGTGGCCGTAGTGCCCCCTGGACAGCGGGGCCTGGCCATGTTCACCGCAGACTCGGGCAGGGGCTGGGAGCAGTAAAGTGCTCGTACCGCACAGCTGGGGTCTTGCCTGGCTCATTGGGGGGCAGGGGCCCGGGGAAGAGGGGCTGAGCTCGAGCTGGGGGAAGTGACACCCAGAAGCCACGGCTGGGTTTGGCGTTTTATTGACACAAACACAATGGCAGCTGTGCCTGGGAGGGGCAGGCACATCCCACGAGGCGAGGCCACTTCTCAGGCCACCCTGCTTGTGGTGGCTGCAGCCCAGGCCTCAGCTCCCCACACTGCTGCCTGCCGACTCCTGTGCAGCACAAAGCTCGGAGCTGAGCTGGGAGTCATTTCCCACCCCGGAAGGGAACCTGCCCTGCACAACTTTGGGCTGCAGCCGTGCCCAGCTGTGAGACCCGCCTGCCTCTTCCTCCTCCAGCACGGCCATGACAGGCACAGAGCATGTCGGGGCGGTGGCGGGAAGTGGGCCCAGCCCTGTGGACGGGGAAGGCACTAGGGGTCGGGGCGGAGTGGGGCCAGGCCCGGCGCAGCAGCCCAGGTTCCTGTGCAAAGGCACTGAGAGCGATCACAAGGCCTCAGTGGCAGGAGCAGCGTTGGGAGCCGGGATTCGGGCTGAGCAAGCCTGGGGCACAGTCTGGTTCCTGAGCCCAGAAGGGGTGGCCTCAAAGCCAGAGGTGGATGAGTCCCTGTTGTGCTTAAGCAGCTGGGGACAGGCAGGATGGCAGGAGGGACAGGGACATGCTGGACTCGGGGGCAGAGGGAGGGAAGGTGAGGCAGAGGGGCACACAGGGTGGACGGAGGGTTAACCTTGGCAAAAAAGCGGCACAGCGGGGAGCGGGCGGAGCTGGAAGCAGCCTCCTCGCCTGCCCTGTGCCTTGGCAGGGCCTGGATATCCAAATGGTCCCTTCCCACTTCCCGTGCAGCGGGCGGGCGGGGCCAGGACGCAGACAGGACAGCCCGCCCCGCCGGCCAGCCACACTAGTTCTCCTTCTCAGGCCCAGGCACCAGGATGACTTTGCCTACGTTCTTCTTCTCCTGCAGCTGTTTCATGGCATCGCCCACCTGGGGAGGAACAGGAGACTTTGCTCCCATGGCCACCGTGAGCCAGTCCACAGGTGCTCCTGCACTCTGCTCCCGGTGAGGAAGAATTGTCTTTTGCGTGATGCACGGTTGGAACCCAGGGCCTTCACACCGAACCCAACTACATCCGCAGCCCCTTTTAGTTTTAATTTTGAGATGGTCTCAGTTGCCCAAGCTGAATGTGAACTTGTGACCCTCCTGCCTCAGCCTCCCAGAACAGTGGGACTCAGAGACCCTCTCTGGAGAGCGCAGGCCCTCCTGGCAGAACCCTCACACCCACCTTCTCAAAGGGCCAGACGGAGTCGATGTGGGGCTTGATGTGGCCCTGGCTGTACAGGGCCAGCAGGCGGGCCACCACGCCGCGGAGCAGCTCCGTGTCCTCCTCCAGCGCCCCGAGGTAGAAGCCGCACACCGCGCGGTTGGACTGCAGCAGCTGCTGGGCTGTGACACTGAACTGGTTCCACCATGTGCGGGCGATGGCCACCAGGTTCCGCTTGGGGCCCGTCAGCATGTTGGCCACCCCTGTGGGATGGGGACGTGGTGGCCGCCTGTGAGTCAGGCTCTGTGCCCCCGCCATTACTCTGGGTACTGGAGTGGCAGGCAGGGTGGTTCCAACACTGGCTGTCTCAGAAACTGGCTTAATCTCTACACTTACTTCGTCCTGAGTTTTATTTTTGTTAGCCCACGTCTGCAGCACATAATGACTATGTTCACAAGGAGTTGGCACATGTACGTAACACATCTTAATTTATGGTCTTGCTAGGTAGTTGAGGCTGGTCTTGAACTTACAGCAATCCTCCTGCCTCACCCTCCTGGTTTCTGGGATTACAGATGTGGGTCACTACACCTGGCCTCAGATCTTAGTTTTTATGTCCCTGTCCCCTGAAACCATCCCCCATTTACTTTTTGTGTGAAGCAGCTTTTTTTTTTTCGGTTTTCTGAGACAAGGTCTCACTCTGTAGTTTAGGCTGGTCTTGGACTCACTGTGTAGCCCAGGCTGGCCTTGAACTCAGAGCTGAGTGCTGGGATTACAGGTGTGCACCACCACTCCTGGCTTGAAGCAGCCTTTTGAATGGAAACCCATCTTGTCTAGGAAGCCCAGGGTGAGACAGGAAGAAGGGCAGCCTGGCCGGTGCTGCATCCAGATCGATCCCCAGCAGGAGCACAAGGGACCCAGAGATATGCAGACCCACAGAGAAGACCCCAGGAGGCAGCCATGAATGTGCTCCCCGGGGCTGCTCCGGCCCTGACCACCCCCATCACCCTGCTCACCGTAGGAGACGACCTTGCCCAGGGGTCTGAGGAGGCTGTAGCCCTTGGCAGTGTCTGACCCGCCCAGAGGGTCCATGACGATGTCCACTCCTGTCAGCGGGGGACCAGGGACAGCGTGAGGGTCTGCATTCCGGGAACCCCTCCTGTCCTGTGCCGGCCCCGCCCACCTTTGGGGGAGATCTTCCTGATCTCCTCAGCGTAGTCTGCGGTGTGGTAGTCAATGGGGTGGGTGACCCCATTCTTCCTCAGCACCTCATGCTTGCTGGCCGAGGCCGTCCCAAACACGGTCACGTTCTCCACCGTGCGGCACAGCTGCAGGGCAGCCATGCCCACACCGCCTGCAGCGAGACACGGCAGGAGGGGGCATGGAGTTGCCTGGCCACAAGCTGTCTCCCAGCCTCCCGGCAACTGTGCTGCAGCTCATCTGGGACCCAGGTCCCCGCATTTCCACAACTGAGACGAGGGAAGGGGGGCTGGAGAGGAGATGGTGTGGCTGAGGGCCTGTTGCTAAGGACACCAGGCTGGACCTGGAGCTCAAGTGTTACCACAGCAACCCTGGCGCAGAGGCCTCTGGGCAACCGTGGGGCCACCACAGCCTGGTTGCCATGGCAACAAGCCAGCCCGCACCCAGAGGAAAAGCCAGAGAAGGGGCCTCACCCGCAGCCATGTGTACCAAGACGCTATGGCCAGGTCTCAGGTTGCCAAAGTCGAAGAGGACCATGTAGGCTGTCATATAGTTCACCAGCAGGGCCGCCGCCTCCTCAAAGGTCATGGCCTCAGGCATGAGGAAGGTGTGGGCGGCAGGGACCGTGGCCTCCTCCTGCCACATCCCCCGGCGGGTCAGCACCATCACCCGGTCCCCGACCTGGAGGAAGGGAAGAAGTCACCGTTCCTCATCCCTCCCCGACCATGTCCCTCCCCGTGTCCCTGTGCATCTTCCAGGGGATGGGGCAGCAGAAGTAACAGCTGTGGCCAGGGCTATAACCACCACCAAGAACTTGGCTTCCCTGCATGCTTACTGAGGGCCAGCCCTACTCGAGCGCTCTACACAAAGCCCTGAGTCGCTGGACATGGTGGCGCACGCCTGTAATCCCAGCATTCAGGAAGCTGAGGCAGGAGGATGGCTGCAAGTTTGAGGCCAGCCTGGGCTACACAGTAAGACCCTATCTCAAAAAAAAAAAAAAAGTTAATCCTTCCATCAGCCTTGAGGTAGATCCATCCTTATCTTCAGGTCACAGATTGCACACTTCTGTGTTGTGTAAGATCACTGATCGCAAGAAGCTACGGTTAGGCCTGAGTGGGGGGTGGAAAGGAAGCAAACCACCTGGGTTACAGAAATGCCCTCCACCAACAGCTGGCAGTGTGACTGGGCAAACATTATTTAACCGGTTTTCTTATCTGCAAAGCAGGGGAGTACAAGGCTCAAGTGGAAAAAACCCACTGGAGACTTGCAGCTGGAGCAAGGGCTCACTGGCCACAGTAACACTGCGAAAAGGGCCCAGGCAGAGGACCTCTGAGCTGGGTGTGGCCAGGTCACCAGCCAGACCCTGCAAACCTCACCCTGTACAGTGGGGTCGGGGCTACACCCCAACCCAGCCACCAGGAATCCACTACCCTCAGCCTGGGAGGGGTAGGAGTGGAAGTAACAGGTCCCAGCAGAAGGGGCGGCTCGGGGTCCATGGGGGCGGGAGGCAGGACTCCTGCCTACAATATCCCCGCTCACTGCTCCAGCCCGTCAGGGTGACAGCATGAGCCCACCGGGCAACCAACTGCAGGCCGCACCGCACCCTCCATGGGGCGGACACCGGGAAGCCGGGGCCCCCAGTCCGGCTCTTACATCAGAGCCTCGGGATTTCCTGTATTTACCCGGCGGAAGGCGTGGGGGGGGAGGTGTTGGCGCCGCTGGGCGCCCAGAACTGAACCCCCCTGCCCCCAGCATTCCTCTCCCGAGTGGGGGACTTAGGCGTGGGGAGGGTGGGCCAGGAGCTGGACTCGCGGAGACGCCTCAGAGGAGGAGGGTGGCTGTGTGGTAACTCCGAGCGGGCCTGGAGTCGGCCCTGAACCCCTGAACACATGACTTGCGGGGCTCTCAGAAAGCTGGTTGCCAAGCTGGTCTCCGGGAGGTGTCTGGTGTCGGGTTGTGGCCGGATGAGCGATAAAGGAGGAGAAAGAGACTGGCAGAGCTGGGCCAACCTGCTCAGGCGCCGCCCTCCCCACCCGGGCTCGGGTTCGAGGCCAAGGTCCCCCGCGAGGAGGCAGAGGTCCACCCGGAAGTCCCT